CCACTGTACTTTTTTAAATATTGACGTTTTTAAAGATATAAGCTCATCGCGATGTTACACTCATTGAGAGCTTTCATTTAAGTACCCACACGCATTTTGATATATTTTTCATATGTACATATATATAATATATATAAATATATGAAAAATTGATGTGGGTACTCAAATGAAAGGCCTTGATGAGTGTAATGTCGGGGTGAGCTTATATCTTTAAAAATGTCAATATTTCACAAAATATTTGTTAAATTGCGCTGTACTTTATTAAATATTGACGATTTTAAAGATATAAGCTCATCTCGATGTTACAATCATCAAGAGCTTTCATTTAAGTACCCACACGCATTTTGATATATTTTTCATATATACATATATATATAATATATATAAATATATGAAAAATCGATGTGGGTACTCAAATGAAAGGTCTCGATGAGTGTAATATTGGGATGAGCTTATATCTTTAAAAATGTCAATAGTTTACAAGATACAAAGTAATTTCTTTTTATCATATGACTATCCTTGTCACAAAATTTTTCTTATTCTCTTAATAATATACATTATTCTTTAGCTAAATAAAATTGTTTAAAATTTCCAATAAATTAATTTCTTGTCACAAAAAAGTTTATTTTTTTCAAAATTGTAGCTCAGAAATCAAAATATCGATTGTCACCATATATGTAAGTAAATATAAATAGTACGAAAGTGTTAAAATGTTTTTTAGAGCATTAAAGTGTAGGAGGATTATCATTAGCGTGACTTTCGTTCGTTTGTTATTCAAAGGACGGTAATTTAGGGTTCAAAACTTTGAATTCACAGAGTAATCAAATCCGAAAGACATTTGGATTGCGGCCAAAGTATTTAGCATGTATATGAGAATGGCAATAGCAATAATTTGAAATTTCAAAAGGATAATTATTTTTCTAGGGTATACGTTGAGCTTATACTGTACTCAATGTCGAGAAAAGAGACGCTTTTCAAGAGCTGCACTACCGCTCAGCTTTGTAACCGGCACTTCCCTTTATGCAGTCACGTTTGCGAGCATAACGATCTCCCGAGTCTAAAAGCCATTTTTTTAAATGCAATTGTTTTACTTTTTAATTTAAGGAAATCCTTTCGCTTCAGTTGAGTCAAAACAATTGTAGTAGTCAATATACGATAAATTAAAAAAAGAAACCCATAAAAATTCCTAAAATTAAATAATAAATAGTATATGAGGCATTAATCGTTGAAATTTTGAAAATAAAAAAAAAAAAAATAGTTAAATACAAAAATTAATTTGACTCTTTCAAATCAACTGCTAGTAACTTGTCCGTGATTTGGCAACGCTGTACTTTGGTTATTTACATTTTCATTTGCACAATATAACCTTAACCACGTTTAAGTTTTTGCAGTCAGTGTAAATAAATAAATTAGTTTGAATTTATTAAATGGTCTGAAGCTCGCGCGCTACGAAACGTTATGAAGTTAAGAGACTGAAATTTTTTAAATTAATTTCTAAAGTACCTGAGGTAATTTTTATTTCTGTTAACATAGAACCAATTAAGAAAGTCAAAAGAAGAAAAGAAATTTAAAAAAAAAAAATTGACCTCGCTTAAAATAGTTATAAAAAATTAATTTAGTGGATAATTTTAGCCGCATATTTTTAAATAATAATAGTAAAAACAATTTTAAAAAATATATTAAAAATTTCTGGTGCATTGCTCGAGAAAAAAAAAAAAATCAAAGGAAGAAAATAGATTGAAGATTAATCACTGTACTGTACTCTACTGTGTTTTGTAACACGTAAAGCTTCCTCCAAATAATTAGTTTTCGCCCGATGTTTCCTGTAAATTAATCGCGACATTGTTCCGCTGCGAATTGGATTACATTACTGATTTGAGCTTGAAATTAATGATTTTTTGATATTCAATGCGCTGCGGTTAGCCCGTTAAAACAAATGATACAAATGATGAAAATTTTAGCATTGATAAAAATATAATAATTTATTGCATTCACAAAACAATTATTTTGATTAATAAATTGTTACTAAATTGAAAGATTTTTTTTGTTCGTAAAAAACTTGCAATTTTATTTTAATTAAAAAAAAATAAATTAACTTTAATTAATTAATTAACTTTATTTATTTATTTATTATTTAACTAACTAGTTAATTAAAAAATTAACTTTAATTAATTAATATAAATTTTAAGATAATTTGTTTTTTCAGATTTTATTTTTTTAATGAGAATAAAATTGCAAGTGTCAATAACTATGGGTATTTTACATTGAAGTTTAACAGAGAGAGCAGAAGAAATTTGAGATGAATGAAACTGTTTTAATGTATTGGTTCGCCCTGATTATAAAAAAGTATTGAAAAAGTATGTAATTCAATACTTTTTTCAATACTTTTCACACACTGTATATCTATATATACATACAATATAGATATACAGTTGCATGGTTCAATACTTTTTTTAAATCAGGGCGAGGACAAAATACTTAGCAAGTTTGAATTTGCAAGCTCGAGTGACCTTTCAAAGCTTATAACGGGAATATCAATTACAAGTGCTGTGCTTATCACTAAGTACTCTCGTACTATTCCAATAAATTGTTCTATAAACATACGTTTGTATTGATATAAATAGTTTTGGTAATCTCGCTGGATATTGATTCTATACCGAGTATTTGTGACAAAATTTGCAGTTTTTTATGTTTTAAAACAATGTTAAAAAATATTCTCTTAAAATTTAAAGCTTCTTATTTTTTTTTTTTCAACTTAAAAAGAGATTTTTGTCGGAATTAAACGCTGATTTTTTTTTTAAATAAAAAATTTAATTTTTTTACTGAAGAGACGACTGAGTAGCGACAAGATGGCTCCTAAATGACCATAAGATGGCTGAAAATTTTTTACAAATGTCGAGTTCTACTTTATCGGTCTACTTTGTTGATAACTTACTAACTGCCAATAAGAAAAACTCTCTTGATAAGATTATTTATTTATTATCAACAAAAAATAAATAAATTTTTGAAAAATTTATTAAAAAATTTCTCAGCTCAATTTTCCAATATTTTTTTCATAAAAAATAAAATCATTACAAATATATTTAAAAATATTTAGTAACATTTATTTATTTCTTCATAGTTTCATAAATTATTTATAATAATAATTTTTTATTAAATTAAATTCTAAAAAATATGTTAAATTATTTAAATAAATAAAATGCGATATTAAATTTCAAATAATTTATTTAAATAAATTTTTAGCAGTTTTACAACATAATACATAGTGAAAAACTAATCCAAATAAATTAAGTGCAAACATTTAGATGTAATTAAATAAATTCAGTTAAGATGAATTAAACTGATAGGTCCCTAATGGAAATCTTGAAATTTTTCATCAACAGGAATCATCTTGTGGTTTGGCCGTTCACTTGCAGTTGCAGGGGCTGCACTTGCAGGAGCCGCCGGATTTGCAGGCGCATTTATCTGTAAATTTAAATAAATATCAGCAACTATCCCGAGTCCATTTAAAGAAATATTTTTCCTCTGAATGACCGTTAATTATACGGGGTCTACTGTGAGAATTGTTCTCAAGGTTCATACCACGACGGTCATTGACTCGTAACGAGAAATAAAAATCTACTTTGTCATGTTACAAACCTTTACCCTTCATTATTTTAAACTAGTTTTTTCCCGTGATATATTATACTTAGTCATTGGATAATAAAATATAATCAATCATTTTAAAATACTCAACATTCCTTCGTTATACTTAAATTTATTTTTATTAGTTTACTAAATAATTATTACCTCCGCTCTCGCAGCACTTACAGTCACTACCGCAATTGCATGATCCCTGGCATTTGTCTAGAATAAAAAAAAAAAAATTATTACTGATATTTAAATCTTATTTAGAAAAATTAAAATAAAATTTTTTTATAATAAAATTGATATTTAAATTAAAAAAAAAGTTAATTAATAAATAAACAAATTTATAAATATAAGAAATAAAATTCCTGGAATTATTGAGTGATTAAATTCTTATTAACTCGACCGGTATTGAAATTCCATAACTCTATTGCGACGTACAGACAATAAAATGTTTATAAAATAAATTACAAACATTCTATAGAAAAAAAAAAGCTATTATAAATTTCTTTATTGATAAGTTAATTTTTTTTTTTTTAATGCAATAAAATAAAAAATTAAAATTCCTCATTAAATTAATTTAGACATTTAAAAATATTAAAAAAAAAATTGTAATTATTAAATAATAAAATAAAAAATAAAAAACTTACCTTTGCATTTGTCTCCACATGGACCAGGCATGTTGATTATTTTTAATTAAAAATATAAATTCACTTAGTCAAGTAGAAGTTACTCACTGAATAATCTGAGAAGTGTATGTCGTTTTACGTTCCTGCGCTTTGAATTTATTGATCAGGCCCCTCCACTCATAAAGTGCGACTTACCCATGTAGTTCATAGTATAGGTGCCACGTACTACGTAAGAATTATCTTCTGGACGTGTGCAACGGAGCCGAGATGCTGTGTGCCGTGTACAACAAACTTATCGAGGAAATTTCTAGTAGCCCATTGGTCACGTACTTCATTGTTACTCAAAACAAGCCGCTATTGGGTTAAATCGAATTTCAGACGGAAAAAAGGGAACCGTGTGCAACAATTCGAGAAATTTACCGGTTAATGTATAATATTATTACATTTATGTTGATAAATATATATGATAATAATGAATCATTTCAGATTGTAAAGACAAACAATTATCAAGTCAAGGCTATAGAACTTTCTGGTTCTTTTTTATTTTATCTATTCAAGTATAATACATTTTTTTTTTTACTATTGAAACTGCCGACTGTTTGATATTTTTTTTTGTAAAACAAATTATTATTATTATTATTATTATTATTATTATTATTAACCGTATGCACTAATTACTCCGAATATTTAAAAAAAACTATTTTTATGAGTCATATATTAAAAGTATGCATTTAAAATTCTCATTTAAATTAATACTGCGTCTATCTCTTAAATATTAAAATATATATATTTTTTTTTTTTTATAACATCTGTATAATCCCTCGGTTAAATAAAATCAACCATATCAAAACCCGACTATATAAAATAAAATTATTGACTACGACTAATAAATAAATCAAATTAATTTAAGATTAGTCAGATCTAGCTACCCATAAATAAAAATCGGCAATTTTAATAAATTTTATATGTAAAGTAAAAATATATATGTAATTGAACCGGGTTATTTTGTTCTGAAAATTTGATCTCTAGTTCGAGGTGTAATGGCGGTTCGTTTTTCCGCTACGGTTTTAATGCGCACTGATGTATTTTGCAGATCGCTGTTTGGAGTGATTGCCATTCCAGCTATTGTATAAGCACACAATAAATATACTTATTTAGACATTTTAAAAATTTAACCAATAAGGTAAAAGACCCCATTAGTGGCACCTTTTCTTTCAATAAAAAAATGTTCTACTTGGAATAAAAATTAAAAATTTTTTTGATCTAAAGGTCTTGAAGATTATAAATAATATATTCATTATTGAAGTTAATGATTTCATTAATTGAATAAGTACCAAAATCAAGGAAAGTGTCAGTAATGGGGTCTTTTACCCTAAAATATGTAATTAATTTTTTTTTTTTTAAACTTACGATGCTTTATTACAGCTCGGCTGTCCTTTTTAGCGACCAATTTTTTAACTCGTGAACCCTGGGGTGTTACTGGACTCGCATCAAACTAAAAATATTTTTTATTTTATTTAATTTGTTTATGAATAAATAGAAGTTGTAAAATGTAATAAACTGAAATGTTGTTTAAATAAATTATTTACATTTATAATTATTTTACTGATAAGAGATTAAAAGATAAAATTATAATAAAAAATAATAACTTACCTCTTGGACTTGTTTTTTCGACTGGTAAACAGCACTCGGAAAATTAAACTCGAAATTCGGTGGATTATTTTCATTGTTAATTTTTTTTGGCTGAAAAAAAATAAATTTATTATTTAAATAAATAAATAAATAAATAAAATATTTTTAAAATGAAAAATTTATATTGTTCCATTATAATTATTATAAAATAAAAATAAATTACTAGGTATAAAATAAATAAAAATTTTATAATAATTTTAATGAAATAATATGAATTTTTCATAACTAAAAATTTTTCCGATTACCATAAAAATAAATACCTTATAATTAAGCACTTCTTCTTTAGAAAGAAGATATTCATTCTGCAATTTCGGAATAGTTTTAATAGTAATAGCATCTCTGCCCCCTCTTATATAATCAGCAACCGGACTCCTTACTTCAGAAGAACCCGGATAAATTTTATCAAGCAAATCACCCTTATTACTTTTCGGTATATTTTTCTTCCCAGGTGTCGGGAAAAATACCCTCTTCTCCTTCGGAGGAGCTTTCCCCGGAGTGCAAAAATATTTCCCTCCGTACTCAAGCCTAGGACTCTTAAACGTCGAGAAATTTTTACTGGAAGATGTTGGAGTGTTAGGCGTCACCATAATCATGGGTGGATTTGCCGGAACTTTGAACACCTTTGAAGTGACCTTGCTCACAGATTTACTAGCGACAGCAGACAGAGCCGACGACATTTTACTAGGAGTAAATTTAGTGGAAATATTCTTCCTAGCAGAAACGACTCTAGGAGTGACTGGAGCCGAGGTCGTTCTTTGGAGCACACGAGGGGTCGATTTAGGTGTCACAGCAACCCGCTTAGAACTCGGCGATTTATTTCTCATCAAACCAGTCGCTTTGCACCTCGAATTCATCTCTGGCGACTTACAAGATTTAGATCTAGTAAATTTTTTAACAGAGCTGCTAGAAAGTTTCCTCAACGTAACATTTCCCATTCTCGAGTCCAAAGACTCATCACTGCTAGACAATTTATCAGTTCTTCTGCTTCCAATCGCTGTCTCAACTCCTGAGTCATAAAGACCATCCCCACTTTTTAATCTACTGCTGTTAGACACGTCAAAGTAATTATTAACCACATTCAAAAATTCAGTCGAATAAGACCCGGCTATTTTGTCTTCAACAATATTCTTAATCGTCATCTCAGTCTCTGCTAGCCTTTTGTCTCTCTCTGCCATCTCTTTTTCAATATCCCAGTCGTCAAGCGAGTCATACAAATTACTAGAAGCTCTCCCTGGAGCCTTTAAAGAATCCGGCGTCAAAAAAGGGCTACCATTCTCCTCAAATTCCCTCGATTCATTTTTAGAATCTTTAACAGAAAAAGGAGACACTGAAGCTAGCGCCAGTTCTTTTTGCCGACACTCCTCTAACAATTTCTTCTGCTCCTCGGTCAACTCAGGCATCGGCTTGGGACTCTTGGGTATATCATCTCCTAGACACTGTCGTTCGTGAAAGGTAAAAGAAGACTCGTTAAAATCTCTTCCAGAGCCCAGAAAAATTGGAGATTTAGTATCAGAGTTAGGAGTTTCCATCCCGCGGGTCAACGCAGCGATACGAAGAGGCGTGCTAGCATACGCGGAGCTCTTCATCAAGTCAATCGGAGTTTTTCTGTAGACTTTTTTGTTCCTTGTGTTGTTCATCGGAGTCTTGGATAAGTTTCCTTCATCGCTCGGCTCAACCGACGGAAAAACTTCCGGAGTGTCTTTAAATATAGTCTGGTCGCTTGTAAAAGGTATAGTTTCGTCCTGGAGATCCCGAGTCTTCCCAATTACTTGGAGCACCAAGTCTCTGAAAGCGCTGATGGACTCGTCGTGGCTGGTCAGCTGAGTCTCCTCGAGGATTGTCTTCAATTGTTCTTTAAAGTCGCTGGGTAATTTCTCGAAGGATTTTGTCAGACGGTCTAAATAAGACTGTCTTCCGTTGTTGCTGGATGTTGAATCAAGGTTTCTAACTCGGACATTACCCAGCTGGTGCAAGACCTCTTTTATTTCCAGCAAAGAAGTGTTTGCAGTGGAAGAATCCAAATGGAGCCACGAATCGTGAGGATTGTTTGGACATCCCACCGCGTCGGCGTACGAAGAAGCTGTCGTTACAGTGTCATTTATGTTTTTGTTCAAAAGATTGTTGATCACCTCGAAGGACCTGGACGTAAAGGACTCTTCAGTGGTCTGAATAGCTGAGGAATTTGCTTGGTAGGTTGACTGACTGCTGTAGTATGAGGTTTCTGATTTGTGAGAACTGATGTCTGTTTTAGGATCCAGTAAGTCGGCTTTTGCTTTATTCTCAGCTTCTATTTCTCGGCAAGTTTCCTCGAGTCTCGCTAAGCTCGGGTACTTCAGGGCGTAGTAGTTATCTCGCTCCTGCTTGGAAGACTCTAAGTCGCTGGAGCTGGTGAAGAAGCGGGTGTCTTTGAGATTCTGGGAGAGTTCTTCGTCGGAGAGGAACGAGTCTTCGTATTTATGGCGGGACAAGTCTGAAATAATTTTTTTTTATTTTTTATTTATTAGTAATTTTTTTGATATTTAGTTTGATGATTTTATTTATTAATAATCATTAATTTCAGGGATTTGTAATTTATTACTGTAAATTATTACTATTTTTTATTTAATATGGATCATTTGTTTTGTTTTAATTTTTTTAAAGGTTATAAGTAAAATTTTTTATTGCTAAAAATGTTCTTAATTTTAGAAGAAAAATTTGATCCAAAAATTATATTTTTCATTTTTACATGGCAATTTTTTTTTTTTTGACATAATTTATTATGAAAATGAAGTTAGCTGACATTACAAAATTGTTAGATATTTTTTATTGCGAAAATTTCAGTTAAACAATTAAAAAAAAATTTCACATTTAAAAAACTTGAAAAACTATAAGTACAATTTTTTAAAAATATCTTTTTAGATGACACTGAAGTTAGCAGACGTCTACAAATTTTTGATTTTTTTTATTAATTAAATTACAACTAAAAAGATAATTTACTAAAAAAATGCAACTTATAGTTTTTCAAGTTTTTGACATGTGCATTTTTTTTTTTTTTAATTGTTTAATTGAAATTTTTTCAATAAAAAATTTCTAAAAATTATTAAATGTCGACTAACTTTATTTTCGTCTTTTTAGTTGTAATTTAATTAAAAAAAAAAAAATCAAAAATTTTTAAACTTCAGTTTCATTAATTAATTTATTTGGTAAAAAAATTCTTAAAGTCAATTTTTCAATCCAAGATAAAATTTTATGGATTGAAAAACTGGCCCTTAAAATTATAAAATATCTGATTAATTAATTTTCATTCATTTATATTAAAAATTTAAATATTATATGCATAAAAATAATTATATGTATGGAAAATTTTAATGTCTGTTAATTTTAGTGCCATAGAATATTATTTTTTATTTATTAATAATGTTTTTATTTAATTAAAAAAGTATAAAAATTAATTTAGGCAGATGTTTGATAATTTTAATAATTGTGTGATAAATAAATTATTGCAAAAAAAAATTGATATAAAAATTTAAAGAAAACTAAAAATACATTTTTTTTTAATTATTTTTTTATTAAATAAATTAAAAAATTATTAAGTGGCTAACTTTAATGTTATAAAAAAATAGAATATGTCAAGGAAATTAAATAGAAAAAAAATCAATCAATTAATCAATAAGTTATAAAAAATAAATAAAAACAGCTGTCTAAAAATAATAATTCCGCGTGTAAAATAAATAAACAAAAAACATAAGAATGAGGTTGAGGTTAAGTTTGCAACTTACGGTTCCCACGTTCGATGTTTCTCCTCGCCTCCATGATTTTTATATAAAACAATTAACAAAACCAATTCCAACAATTGACAATTTTTTTTACCAGACTATAAATAATTAATTTGTGTTAAAAAAACAAATAAATCCAAGAAATGCGTATATAAATTTTTACGACGACGGTTACTCTCGTTGGTCGTTAGCCTTTTGATTTTAAATAAGTGTGTAGAAGCGCGGCTTAACCCTGCAGCGCCATCTTTGTGATTGGTTTGAAATTAAAAGAGAAAATCAAAATGGCAGGCAACTGACTCGATAAGAGAAAGAGAGGGATACGTTGTGCGGTTGCCCGCTCAAAATGTACAGAATTTGTGTTATTTAAACTAATTTATTGTAGTAGTAAATAATTGTGAAAACAAGTGAATTTAAATTGTTTAAAAATGATCGAATTTCCGCTTGGATACCGAGAAGTCGTTCCCGACCAAACGCAACCCGAAAATTGGAAGGAAATTATTTTAAATACCGGTAAAAAAAATTTACATAACCTAGTTTTATTAATTACAGTTATTTATTTATATTACAAATAATTATTATTAAATTTTATTAATAATTGAGTAATAAATTTTGTGAGATAAAAAATTTTTGTGAATTTATAAAATAGTTAATGACAATTATTAATTTATTATTATTCTAAATTTTAGGTGGAAGCCAAAGTACTCTCCAGGACATAAAAGTACCTGAACGTGCAAGCGGTTATTCATATCGTGACAATTACAAGTATTACACGCGGAACCGGTTTATTTACTGGCGAATAAGTCATGACATTTTGGAACTGATCGAGCACAGCTTTGACATCAATTTAATTAATTGCAAAATACGGTACAAGTTTACCGACACTCCGATACTCGACGGTATTTCAATACATGAGACTGTTAATTCTGTGGTGATACTTGTTGCTACTGTTTCGAGCATTCATAAATTGACATTTCCTCATCCAGATAAAATTCACAAGCAAGTGAGTATTTTTTGTTAATTTTTCTAATATACAATTATTTTTATTATTATTATTACCACTGTATTTTTTAAAGATATAAGCTCATCCCGATGTTATTCTCATCAAGAGCTTTCATTTGAGTACCCACATGCATTTTGATATATTTTTCATATATACATATATATAATATATATAAAATATATGAAAAATCGATGTGGGTACTCAAATGAAAGGTCTCGACGAGTGTAATATCAAAATGAGCTTAGATCTTTAAAAATGTCACTAGCTCACCAGATACAAGGTCATTTAAATTATGAATCTAGAGACCGACCCTTTGAATGCATCCTAAATATAATAAACTGACCAAAATTATTTTTTGAGTATATATCTTTATTATTATTCTTAAAAAAAATTATCAATAATAATTTTATTATTATTAAAGGAACACCTGCTGATATCTCACCCAGACTTGACAATCCAATCAATCTTCAGCGAAGCATCAGCGCAAGTAGCCCGCGACCCTCACTCCTTCCACGTGATATCCAACATCGGCACTACCAACTCACCAGTGCCTCACGCAGCAGCATCATGGCTAACCTTAAACCCCGAAGAAGCTTTATTCGCGCTAGCCTACAACACAGGAACAATCCTCCTTTTACGCTTAGACGGAGCGACCGGCCTAGTGCACACCAGCGAGCTGAAACAGGACTCAATAATGCCGCGCTTTCTCAGCGGGATCGCCACAGCCTTCCGAGGCCGCAACACCGAGGGAATGGTAGCAATGTCTCTGGTCATCCACCCCTGCGGGGACGACACCTACCTCTTCGCGCTCTGCCGCGAGGGGAACGTCCGAATGTGGTCCTGCAACAAGGCCCAGTGCGTCGCAGTAACCGAGGTCTCCGCCGACAGCCAAGTAGCCCAAGGAGCTCACGGTCACATGCTCAGAAAAATTCTTGGATCTACTGACAACGAGCTCTACCTCGGAACTTACCTTAAATTCAACTACGGCTGCGAGTTCAGCATCCTCAGACCAGTCCAAGACGCCGGACTGTTCAAATTTATCCGAGTCTGCACTCTCTTTCCTCCAGACCAGCACCTAGTGGACTTTGCTTTCACTCCAACTCGACTCTGGGCCGCCTGGAGGACCACTGACCTGGACACTGTCGCAGTGACTCACGCCCAGCTGCCTCTCAGTGGCGCTCAAGTCACTTCCGAGTGGGAAACAGCGATCTTGGAACCTATCCCAGACCGGGATTACATCATCACTGACCCTGGGACCGATCCGAGCCAAGCTTACCTCAGTTATATTTTCCACCCAGGTCAATTTTCACTTGCTGACATCACCCGAGCTTTGAACATCTACCGCCGCTCTAATTTCATGGCTGACATGACCTTATCCCCCGCGTTATTAAAAGAGCGAGTTTGCATGGCCGTCGAAGCTGAAATCCAAGCCGAGGTGATGGACTATGAGCTAACTGATGAAGATTATCTAGAAATTGCAAACCGCTGCTGGTCTAAATTTTATTCTTGCGTGATCCAGTACCACGTGAACGGAAGCAGGCCGGTTGGAATTCTCCTCCTTCCTACAGTCTACGGAGTAGTGCTACTAAAAAAATCATTCTTCTCTCTCCTTCGTCCCATGGAAGCTTTAGAACACTTACTGCTCTCCAATGAAAAATCTTACGCTTCAAGATTCAAAACCACCGCGATTTTTTCCCAAGATGAGGAAACCTGCCAAGACTTAATCGAGCTAATGGAAGCTGTGGTGATGCTAGAAGAGCAACTGTCTGAAGAAACTAAAAGCAATTTCCAACGCGAGCTTTCTTATCTCAAAAGTCCGGACATTGTAGTGGAAGAATTGTTCTCAAGATTGTTAACTGATCCAGACGACCCGCTTGCTGACTACGATTTTCAATTAGACTTGTATAACAAATTAGAAAACGTCCGAGACCCTGCTAATGCAATGGAGATGCTCCTCGAAGCTCTGACTTATGACACAGTCCAGCCGGAGAAACTTAAATTAGATTCCGAGCCAGAAACCTCGCGGATGCTCCTCACTGTCAGCCATCTCTTCGGCAGCCAGCTTGGAATTTCTACTGTGTCAGTTTCAGTGTCACAAATTACACAGTTGCGCTTTACAATTTGTAGAAATTTGCTTCTTCTTCAGCAAATAATCCTAGCTAGACCTGAGGTTTCAATTTCTAGAATTTTACATGAAATAAAATCTTCATTAGCTCCAAGGACTGTTGTTCTAACTCAGGCTTATTTTGTGATGAATTGGATCTGCGAGTCGACGATTAATTTGCAGTCGAGGCAGACATTGTTGGAGACAAGTATCCAGCGGCTTCAAAGTCTGAAATTAAATGAAGGCCGTGTGACTAGTAGGCATCAACGTTCGACGTCTTTGTTGGAGCTTTTTATCCAAAGCTCGGGTGCAAAGCACGCCTATACCTTGATGGCGAATAATATGGAGCTGGATGCTTCGACTTTGGTCCCCTGGCACTTTGGAATGCTCACGCATGTGAATTTAATAGGCCAGCTGATCTCTCCGCTTTGTGGAAACTTTGTTTTTCCCGAATGGCTGCTCTCCAGCTGTCAATTTAATCTTGTCCAAGATTACGTTCGGTTGTTGAGCACCTGGTGCGAGTGGAACAGCGCCTCCAGGAAGTTTATCCTCGCGGTCTCGCTTCTGGAGCTGGGAGAGACCAACAAGGCTTGTGATCAATTTTTAAGAGCCTCTAATGGAATTCTGACTGATAAATTCCTGGCTAGTATTCTTCTAGACGCGACTCCGGGCTCGGACAGCAACGCGTTGGTACAGTACTATCTGAAGATAATTGAATTATTTGAGCAGCATGGACCCTCTAAGTATATAATTGAACTTGCGGAAACGGCGATCACCATCGCGGAAAAGGACAATCCAAACTTGCCGACGTTGCACTCGATAATATTCACGCAGCATTTGCACCTGGGACATCATAAAGAGGCGTATCATTGCTTGAATTCGAATCCAGATGCTGCGAGAAGGTCAGACTGCTTGAGACAACTGGTGGTGACCTTGTTTGAGAGGAAGAAATTGATTGACTTGGTTTCTTTTCCGTATGTGGACATGTATGAAGAGCTGGAGAGAATTGTCGTCGGCAGGGCGAGAAGTGTCGATCTTATGGAGAACAATTATTATAATTTTCTTTATAGTTTTCATATTGAGAAGAATAATATTAGAAAAGCTGCTTCGGTTATGTATGAACAGGCGATGCGGCTGAGTCAAGAGTCACACTCGGTGCAGATTATTACTAGGCAAGCTCAGTGCTTGCTGGCGTGTATCAATGCTCTTAATTTGGTGAGGGAGAATTATAGGTGGATTGTTAAGCCAGTTGTTGATCAGACTTATCCGGATGAAGTAAATCCGAAGAAAAAACGTACCTTTTGTGGAAAAGAGGTATTTTTTTTATTTTTTATTTTTATTTTATTTATTTTATTATTAGTTTTTTATTTTATTTGTCATTTTTTTTAATAATTTAAATTATTAAAATTTTTATTAAAGATCCTACATTATAAAATCAAAAAAATGGTTCAAGTTCTGGAGCTCAAGGACATTCGGAACGAGTACTACCTAGTTGATGCAAGATTGAAGCTTTCTAAATTCAGATCTGAGATGCATACCATCGCGCAAGCAGACGCTGGAGAGCTGATAGTCTTGCTCTCGAATGTAGGACTGTACACAGTAGCACTTAATTTGTGTGACAAGTTTGGAATTTCCAAAACTTCAGTTTTGGAAAACTTAGCGGGCCAAAGCTTGAGACTGAGCGAGCATGAGGATCCTAACGCTTGGGATTGGCTTGTTTTGAACGATGTCTTTGATATTCCGGGGTATGGATCTAATGTTGCTGATATTGCGTGGCGCTTGTTGGAAAAATTAACTCTAGAGCACGAGAAGGAGGACAGCAGTGAGCTTCATAAAGGTGTAGCGAAGAAAATTCTTCAGCATGAAGCTTTCTTACCACAATGGCTGATTGCTTCTTATAAAGTAAGTCATGTTTAATTTTAATTTTAATTTTTTATTTGTATTCAATTTTTAATGTTTGTTTTTATTTAATTTTTAATGTTGATTTTTATTTTTATTTTTAAATAAATAATTAATTGAATTTTTTTTAGAAACGCAACGCTGCAGAGTTACTAAGACTGATATTAAACTCCGGAAGATTATTAGAAGCAACTGATCTAGCTGTTGATTATATAAACGCAGTCTTAGGAGAAGGAAAAGAATATTTTGGGCTTGATAGCCCATTAGTAATGTCTGGACCAGCAGTTTGGTTACCTTTTAATACATTTGAAGTCTTATTGTTAGAATTGGAGCATGCTAGTAAGGAAGACCCTACTTATATCGAGGTAATTTCTTTTTTTTAAATACAAAATAAAAATTTTTATTGTTAGCATTACTAAAAAAAAAAAAATATTATTTTTTATTACAGAGCCACGAAAATTTAAATAATAAATTAGAATGTTATATTGACACTGTGGTCCGAGTATCCAACGATATGGTTAGATTTAAAGTTCAATCCAGTAATAACAGTAAGTATAATTACATTTATCAGTAATTTTTATTCTAAATATAGATAGCTTGCTGGTTAACAGCGATGAGAATGATAAATATTATTATTATTCCAAATATTCCTGTTACTGTTGAAGCTATAAATCGTGGACATCGATTGAACAATACCTACAAAAATTTTATTAAATTAAATGAATATTATGAATTTTATTAATTAAAATTATCAGGAGAATTTAATTAATAATTACCATTAATAAAATAACTAATGCAGTAATAAATATTGAACCTATTGGTACTAACAGCCAAATACTTGAATAGTGTCGTTGAATTTCAGCCTCTAAGAACCATTGAAGACTTTTATTAAAACAAATCTAGAATAAATTTTTTCAGCTAATAAAAAAAAAAAAAAAATAAATTTTTGTAATTAAAAAAAAGTACACACCATTGCGGAACCAGTGTGCCATTAAAATATTTTTTTTTTAACTTTTTAATGTAATTAATCTTGTCATTTATTGTTCTAGTGTTGAAAAATTCGTAGTCCATCCAGTACAGTGAGTTTTGAAAATTCTAAATTCTGGAAGCTCAACATCAATAGCCACAAATTAACGAATATTAAATTTTAATACACTCGTTATACTAAGACATGCCAACTAGGATAATAATTAATAAAGTTATGTAATTAAATCACTTGGATCAATATTTAATCATTCTTTTTGTATTATTTGTAAAAAAAAAAAAAAAATCTTTCGATTCCAATAAATAATAATTTTTACAAATTATTAATTTATTCACTTACCTATTTTATACATTTTAATAAATTATTGATCAGACTAACTTATAAACTGAACAATTAAATTATATTTATTAAACTTTACTAAAAACTTATTATCAGAGTCAAAGGTTGATTTGTCTGTACTCTGTATTGAAGATTTAATGTCAAGCTGGGTACTAAAATAAACAGAGCTTAAAAAAAATAATAAGATTATTTAGACATCTGGTTATTTAAATAGATAACGCTGTAAGTCATTTTTAGTAATAATTTTATTATACAAATACATTTATCATGTAGAATATTGACATAAACACAATACTCTTCTTTCCTACAGTACGAAAACAAATAAAACGGAAGAACGGAAATAATAATATTTTTTTTTTTTTTTTTTACAAATTCATCAGTTTATAAATATAAATTTATTTTTATTAAAACTTATTGTAAGTAACTTCAATGATTTAAATACAAGTGATAAAAAATATTTAAAAAATGATTCTGATTTTATTACGACTAGGATAATTAGATGAAGATTAATTGTAATATATTTTGCATTTCATCCATCAATCAAGTAACATGATCACTCTCAATTTTTTTTTATTTCTTTTCAATGTTAAAAAAATTCAGTAATTATTTACAAGTGAAAAATTTAAAATTTTCAAATTTTTTTTCTTGATTCATTTGGTAAAAAATGTGAAAGAAAAAAAAAGCTTTATTACCTTTAAAAGTTGGAAAAATTTTGGCTCTCATGTTTTTGGATAAAATTTCTATTTTATCTTTTTTTTTATAAGTACAAAAAAAAAATTTGAATATCACGATTTTTTAAAAAATTTGTTAAAATTGTAATAAGCAATTTTTTTTTTTAATTCTCGTTCTAAAAAATTGAAAATAAAATTATACCACTTGTAAATATTTACCAAAAATTTTAAATTTTAAATAAATAAACACTCAAGTTTACCAAAAAAAAAAAAAAAAACAAAAAAAAAACCGCGAATAAATCAGTCTCAGCGGTTTAAAACTTAAAAACTAACCACCTAAATTTAAAGTTCATCATGTTCATCTTCTCTAGGCTCTTCATCATCAGCATCAACCTCCTGCGCACCATCCGTAACATTTTCCAGCGGCTCATCATCTTCCTCCTCCTCTTCTGGCACCTCATCAAGCGGAATACCAAGAGACTTCTTCATAAGCTGCTCCACACTAGCAGCAAAGCTAGCAGTTTCCCTCAACATGTACCCAGACCTGAGAGTAGCCGTCTTGAACATCAGAGTAGCCATCTCCTTGGCAGTAGCATCTTCAACATCAGCCTCCACCCTCTTAAGAAGCTCCCTGATCAACGGATGCCTTGGGTTGATCTCCAGAGTCTTCTTCTGGTTCAAATAGTAAGACTTCTGCGGATCATCAGCCTTCTGATGCGCGTTAGAAATAGCCAGCCGCTCCATATTACCGGTCCAGCCGAACATACTAGCCACCAGAGCGCAAGGCGAGTCAGTAAGTCGCTCAGAAATCTGGGCTTTGTTAATAAACTCCGAAAGAACGTCTCCCAGCCACTTGGTCAGCGGCTCGAAGGTAGTCTTCAGTTCCTCCATGCGCTCTTGAGCCTTCTTGCTGTCATCAAGAGTGAATCCCTCCTTAGCGACATTCTGGAACTTCTTTCCGTCAAAGGAAGGCAGGGCAGAGATCACGTGCTCGTCTACCGCCTCAGTAAGGTACAGAACTTCAAAGCCTTTTTTGATCAACCTTTCTACAAACGGAGACCTCTTGACCTCGTCTTCGCTGGCTCCAGCGATGTAGTAGATAGCCTTCTGATTGGGCTTCATCCTTGAGACGTAGTCATTGAGCGTCGTCAGGTTGCTCATGCTAGAAGACTTGAATAACAACAACTTGGATAGCCTAGCTCTGTTCTGCGAGTCTTCAAGAATTCCTAATTTAACATTTGTGCTGTACTCCTTCCAGAAAGAGTCATATTCTTCCTTAGAGATCTTCTTGATCATGTCCAGAACCTTTCTGATCAATTTCTTCTTGATAACTTTGATCAGTTTGTGCTGCTGGAGGTCCTCACGGGAAACATTGAGCGGCAAGTCGTCACTATCAACAATTCCGCGGATAAATGATAAATAATTTGGCATCATGTCGTTGATTTTATCAGTGATGAAGACTCTACGGACGAATAATTTAATATTGTCGGCTTTGGTGCCGTAGCGACTGAAACTATCACCGGGTTGAACCTTTGGAATAAAAAGGAGAGCTTTGAAGGTAACTTCACCTTCAGCGACAAAATGAATTTTAGACAGCGGGTCTTGGGTGTCTTTGGTCAAAGATTTGTAGAACTCGACGTAGTCTTCTTCAGGAACTTCAGAAGGTTTGAGGGTCCAAATAGGTTTAGAGTCGTTCATGCGCTCCCAGTCCCAGACAGTTTTGTCAATCTTCTTGGTCTTCTTTTCAGCCTCCTCAGCAGCTTCTTCAACAGCTGCATCGTCTTCGTCTTCAGCTTTGTCTTTCTCAGGTTGGTCTTCTTCTTTTGGAGCTTCAGTATCGTCTTCTTCCTCGACCTGGATGGTCTTGCTGGACCAGAGGTAGATCGGGAAGTTAATAAACTGAGAGTACTTCCTGATTAAAGATTTTATGGTGTCTTGCTGCAAGAAATCTAGAGCTTCTTCCTTCAAGTGGAGACTCACGGTGGTTCCACGCTTGAGAGTGTCGCCTCGAGGGTCTTCCACGATGCTGTAGCTGGAGCTGTCGGACTCCCAGATGTACTGCTGGTCGTCGTTGTGCTTGGTAGTGACCACGATTTTATTAGCAACTAGAAATCCGGAGTAGAACCCGACTCCGAACTGACCTATCATGTCGTTCATGTCCTGGGGACTTCCGGAATCCTGCATCTTGCCGAGGAACTCCGCGGTGCCGGATTTGGCAATAGTTCCCAGGTTGTTGATCAAGTCAGCTTTGGTCATTCCGACTCCGGAGTCTGTGATGCTCAGAATCTTGTTGTCCAGGTCGGCTTTTATTCTTATGGAAAGTTCGGGGTTGGTTTCTAGGACGCTCTTGTCTGTTAGGGATAAGAAGCGAATCTTGTCCAGGGCGTCAGAAGCGTTGGAAATCAACTCTCGCAAGAAGATTTCTTTATTTTTGTACAGAGAGTTGATGATCAGTTTCATCATTCGGTTCACTTCGGTTTCGAAGGTGAACTTCTCTGCTCGCTCACGCAGCTCTTGGATTTGAGCTGCGTTTAGACCGTCGATTTTTATCGCCTCGGCTTCTCTTTTGACTACTTCGTCATCTAGAATTAAAATTTTGGTAATTAACTTTTAAAATATTTTAAAAAATAAATTTTATTATGACATTTAATTTAACAGTCACTTAACAATTTTTTTATTTTATTTATCAAAAAAATTATTTTAAAAAATTGCATTTTTTATTTTTTAAAATTTCTACATGTTAATTTTTTTTTTTTTTTATATAATTTATATACTATAAAATTTTTAAAATTATTGAATAGATGCTAAATTAATTTTCATAATTTTATTACACTATGGATCTATTCAAAGATTTATCAGTTTAACAATTTTTGTAATTTTTTTTACTGAAAAAATTATTACTAAATAATAATAAATTATTACACTACAGTTAGCAAACATTTGGCAATTTTTTAATTTTTCTTTAAAATAAACTCGGCCAAGAAAATTATTTCTAAAAAATTGCATTTATAATTTTTTAGAGCTTCTATTGATAACATTTTTTTATTAAATTTTTCTTACTCTCAACAATTTGTTAAAATAATTCTAAAAATGATCAAATGTCTTTTAATTTTAGTATCATAAATAATTGTAAGAAAAAATTTAACATCTAGATTTTAAAAATTATACATGGAATTTTTTTTTACTGGTATAATTTATTTTAAAAAAATAAAAAAATGTTTAAATAATTATTAAATAAATAATTACCGGTTCTAGAAGCTTCCCGGCTTGATCCAAAATCTCTGTCAACAGTTCCAACCTCTTCATCAACATCATCGACATCATCTTCGCTCCTCACGGTACCTAGATAAATTTAATTAAAAAATTAAAATAATTATGAGTAAGTTTATGCGTAGAGTAATTAAAATAAATTTAATAATAATTTAATCAGGTGTTTAAATAAAATATTGAAATAACAAAATAAAACTTACCGATGAGCAGCAAAATTGCCAAACCGAAATAAATAAACTTTTTCATCGTGGCCAATAATCACTGGACCGACGAAATAAAATTAATTAAAGTTTACTAAATAAAATAAAATAATTGGAATGCTTGGAGTAACTTAAATCTCAAGCCCACGTTGGATGCGTGTCAAGTTGAATGTTAAATGTCCTGTGGTTGTTGGTTGTTTGATCTTTTTTATCTCTCGCACAATACCTCCCAAACCCGGTGAATGCCACCTCGGCGAGCCTGACCAATCACCGGTGACCACGCAGCGATCTTCTGCCAATCGGAACTCGAATTGTGGCTACCTTCTACAAATGTCGAGCGATCATTGGTTTAAGTTGATTATTTTTCTTTCATCTCTCTTCAATATTTGTGTTTAAATTTGTTTATTTTATTCTTCAGATGTTTTTTTTTAATGAAAAATATTTTTTTTATTTTTTAGAAATTTTAATTTTTTTATTTGTTATAATTATTAAAAAAGATTTTTTAATTTATCAATTGTTGGTAAAATATCTTTCAATTTTATTATTTGATAGTAATTTTTTTATTTTTTAAATTTTTTATTTAAATATTACAAATTATTTGAATTTTATTAAAAAAAAATTAATGATATTATCTAGTTATTAAATTTCATTAAAATTTGTTTAAATTTTCATTATTAATTAATGAAAAAAAATTCATTTAATTATTTCTTCATTTTTTAAAAAATTGAATATTTAATTTTCTTCTTAGTATCAAAAAAGATAAATATAATATAAATTTATTCTATGTACGCTTCAATAAAATTTATCAAAAAAAAAAAAAATAGATTGATTATTTTCACAGTTTTCTGGAAAATTTGAATAATAAAATAATAATATAATCACAAAAATTGGAGTAAAAATAAGAAAAGAGAAGAAATAAAGTAAACACTGAAAATTTTTTGATTCAAACATTAAAAATGATTTATAAATAATTGAATTTTATAAAAAAAAGTATAATTAAATTTTCATTAATTGATGAAGAAAATTTATTTAATTATTTTTACAGATCTTAAAAATGAATTATAATAAATTCTTCTTAGTAGAAAAAATAAATAAAATATTAATTTATTCTATGAACAGTTCAATGAAATCTATCAAAAAAAAAACTAGATTGATATATTTTCTCCAGTCTTTTTAAAAATCTGAAAAACAAAATAAAAATAATAAAGAAAAATTAGATTAAAAATAAAAGTAGAGAAGTAATAAAGTAACTCTGTAAATTTTTTAATTCAAACATTAAAAATTATTTATGAATAATTTAAAATAAATAAGTTTTATATAAAAAAAAAATTGATAAAATTATCCAGTTATTAAATTTTGATTATTAATTAATGAAAAAAAATTATTTAATTATTTCTTCAGATCTAAAAAATAAAATATTTAATTTAAAAATTAAATTTTCTTCTCAGTATTAAAAAATACAAGTAAGATTTAAATTTATTGTATGTACTATCCAATGAAATCAGTTCAAAAAAAACTTGATCGATTATTTAGACATCTTTTTTAAAAATAATTTAAAAAATAAAATAAAAATTGGACTAAAAATAAAATTAAAGAAGAAATAGAATAACCCTGAAGAGTTAACTTGACTTTATTAAGCAAAATCAATTGATAGAATAACTAGAAAAATAAATGAGCGTATGTGAACTACATAAGAGCATCACACGACATTGTCCGACATAAGTTTGCTGATGCTATATGTCAATGTGATGTGTTAGCTTTGAATTTATTTAGTTTTAGCATATATATATTTTACTATAGTACAGGTAAATTGTCTGCCTACCTTGTTACAAATGTACGTGCACCAGTATTAGTGATAGTAATAGTAATATAATGGTACCAGTACCAGTAACTAAGTAAATATATATACGTAAAGCTGGCCAGTGTGGGCACGAAGGTGCTCTACCTTTTTATTCACAAGCATACGTTAGTTACATTGTCACCTTCCATCCGGTTACTTCACCGTATCCTCGTTATCCTCTTTACAATCGGCGGTATCTTCTCCTGCGATAAATAATTTTTTATAAAATTTACAAACTTATTTTTCGATTTAATTATTTTTCTTAACTTCTATCAAACTGTTTCGACGGAGATTCCGGTGAGTTTTCTTCAATAATAAAATTTTAAAAATAATCAATGATTAATTTATAAAAATAATTGATTATTATTCTAATTTAATAATTAAAATTTTTATTTTTAACGCTCGACAATTTTTCGCTAACCGAGGTTTGTACTTTAAAAAAATTTCAAAGCTTTGAAAGTTGATTTTTGTTTTTTAGAAGTTTTTTTAATAATTATCTTAATAATGAAAGTATTAGATAAATATTTATTATTTTTAATAACAAGTTGCAAATTAAATAAAAAAAAAAAAATTACAATTTAAAGTCTAATACTTTCAATTTTATAAATTGCCTTATATTAGTTTTAATCACGCTTAAATTAGTTGTAGAGAAAAGAAAAAGTTTTAAGCGACGCGTAAAAAAGAATTTAGTTAGTTTTATGAATCAAAATAATAGCTAAAACCTAATAATGATTCATAAAATAATAATATGCCGCAAGTGCGAAGTAAAAAGCTTTACACAGTCATTTACAACAAAATCCTGGGTAGTTATAACACATACATATTTGTCGGTACATAAATAACTGACATAACATGACGAGGAATAAATATTTTTGTAAAAAGAGGGCACATTTGAGTTTGTATAGAACTAAGCCCAAAATTCGTTAATAATTGACAATAAGTTGATCGATCGTCGGGGATTATTTATGCACACGTATTTACTATTCTGCCCTCATAGCTTCGCTCACTAATGGATATCATATGTGATGTAGTGACACTCCGGTCGATGACAACCTGAAACATAAATATATTATACTTTGGAATTATAATAAAGAACAAACATCAAAACTTTATAATACTAAAGTTTGCCGACGTTTTTAATTATTAAATTAGAACTGAATAATATTTTTAAAAAATTGCACTTATAGTTTTCCAAGTTTTTTACAAAAAAAAATTTTTTTGTAATTTTTTTAATAAAAAAAAATTCTAAAAATTTTTAGACGTCATCTCACTTAATTTTCATTATCTAATGGACGATATTAACAATAAAAATTTTAAGTACAGACACTTAATAGACACTGAGAGAAAAAATTTCTTTGAAAAACATAAATATTTTTGTGACAAAAAATTAATATGTTGGAAAATTTTTAATAATTTTATTTTTTAACTAAAAAATCAAAATTTCTTTTGAAAAAAAATTTTTTTAAGTTTGAAAAAAAAAATTTAAAAAGACAACTTGAAAATTTTCATTCAAAAATTTTTTTTAACTTTTTAATTATAATTTTTTCAATAAAAAAAATTCTCAAGATTTTTAGATGTCGGCTTACTTAATTTTCATTATCTGATGGACGAAATTTACAATAAACTTTTAAAGTACACTGAAAAAATTTCTTTTGAAAAAAATAAACAATTTTGTGACAAAAAATTAATTTGAAAAATTTTTAATAATTTTATTTCTTAACTAAAAAAATTAAAAAAATTTTTTTTAAGTTTGAAAAAATAAAATTTAAAAAGATAAGTTGAAAATCTTTATTAAAAAATCTTTTATATTTTTCAATAAAAAAGATTTTTAATATATATATATATATATATATAATAATAATAATAATAATAATATATATATATTATTATTATTATTATAAAAAGATTTTTAGATGTCATCTAACTTAATTTTCATCAAAACTTTACTTATTTACTTAATTTTCTAGTAATAAAAAAAAATACAGTGTTTTGTTTTATTATATGACATTATAATGTATACGGTCTCATTTATTAACACGATAACTTATATTTAGTCCAGTATGTGGAACCTATCTTCACGATTATCTATATTGAGATAGTAAAGTTTAGTTATAAATTCAGGCTGCGATATTATCCAAAAGTAAAGAAAGTATCATGAAGCTTGCGATTTACGGGAACTGATTAAAATTTTGCTCTTATCGATTGATTTGCTAATTGAAACTATGGTAATTACAATTACTTTTATTTATTTTACCTAGATAATGTCTAATAGACCGGTGAGCGCGACGACGAGACAGGAGGCAGAGATGATCAACAAGGCCCAAAGGGCCCTGCATACTGCCGAAGATTCGATCGACAAACTTCGGCTGCTTTGTTTGGCCAGGGGAGCTGGGGGAATCCTCGGACTTGCGAGGTAATTTTTTTTTTTTTTTATTATTTTTCTGTAATTAAATAATTATTTATCGGGTGTGTGTATTTATTTAGGACATTTCGGCGCATGGACGAGGACGGTAACAAACAGCTGAGCAAAGAAGAATTGATTGAAGGGTTTGAAGCTATGGGCTTTGAATTTGAGGAAGAAGAAGTTGATGAAATTATTTCCAAGTTGGACACTGATGAAAGTGGGACGATTGATTTGACTGAGTTTATCACTGCTATAAGAGTAAGGTTTTTATTGATAATAATTGTAGATAATTTTAGAGACATTTCTTCATTTTTGTAACAAATTAATTTAGAAAAGAAAATTTTTTTTAAATCATAAATTTAATTAATTAAATTAAATTAATTTATTCTTTAAATAAAATCTAATAATAATAAAGTTTTTGATCTTACAGTAATTAATTAATAATATAATAAATGACTATTTATTCTTTACGTAAATCAATAATTTTATTTATTTGACCGTGAAGGTTTGCAGTTAAATAAAAATCGATTGAATAATTGAGCAAATAGTAACCTTATAATTATAAAATATATATAATTATAATTAGATAGAGATCCAAGGTCTTTTTATTATAAAAATTAAATTAACAGACTGAAAATTTTTTTTTATTACAAAAAAATTAAAACAAAAAAATTCACTTGTAGAAAATTTAAAAAATTATGCATGCAATTTTTTTTAAGTATTTTTTTACTTGTAATTAAATTGTTGAAAAAATTATGAAAATTGTTGAACGCCGCTTAATTTATGTTAGCAGACATCTAAAAACTTTTGGAATTTTTTTTTATTAAAATATTATTACAAAAAAAATTTTCAGTTGTAAAAAACTTTAAAAACTTTCAGTGCAATTTTTAAAAATATTATTTTGTTCTAATTTAATTATTTAAAAACTTCATTATTATGGCTAATTTTAATAATACAAAAATTAGCCGACGTTTTAAATTTTTTAATTTGATTTTATTCATTAAAAAATAATTTTTAAAAAATGCACTTACAGTTTTTTCAAGTTTTTTACAAATGAAAATTTATTTTTTATTTTTCTTCATTAAAAAAATTTTAAAATGCCTGACTTAATTTTCATAATTTTATTATAATTTATTATTCCATAAAAATTAAATTTTTATAAAACTTTTATTCTTAAGTTAAGTAAGAAATAGATAAAAAAAATTAAAACTAATGATAAAAATATTACAGCCTCCGATGTCTGAGAGCCGAATAAAACTAGTAGAGCAGGCGTTTCAAAAACTCGATAAGACTGGTGACGGTGAAATAACAGTCGCTGATCTCCGCGGGGTTTACAATGTCAAATGTCATCCGAGATATATAAGCGGCGAGGAGAGCGAGGAGAGTATTTTGAACAAATTTTTGGGAAATTTCGAGCAAGAGAACAGCAAAGACGGCATTGTAAGTCTCTTAATATTTCTTCTTTTGTATTTTAAATATTTAAATATAAATAATTAAATACTCGGTTATTTAATTATTTCGCAGGTTACAATGGAAGAATTTATGAATTATTACAGCGCAATAAGTGCTAGTATTGATCACGACGCATACTTCGATCTCATGATTCGCAATGCTTACAAATTATAAATTATAAATTTACTGCTCTGATTAAAAGTATTTTCAGCAGAATTTTATGAAGAAATATTTATAAAAAAATTAGTGCATGCCTATGAGTGTTCATATAAAGTAATTCAAGTACTCCACGTTAAAATATTTTTTTTTATAAACATTTAGATTTTGACTATCAACATTCCATTATTATCTTCATTAAATTAAATAACTTTTTACACAGCTTATTTACAGAGTTTATTTATAATTAATTATTACTAGTATTATTATTGTTAATATTATTAATGGTTTATATAGAATTGTGTTTCTGTGATTATTAATAAATTATTAATCAAATAAACTTCAATAAATTATTTATTCAAATTTTAAAATTCAAGAAAACAATAAACAAAATATTGCAGTGTAAAATTATAAATAGAAAAATTGAATCAGCGTAATAGTGTACAAAAATAAACTCTTTAAACCGGAAGAAAGTCAAAGGTGTTAATAAATTGCACAATTTTATAAATTACTCAATAGTTTATCAACGAAAACCGGTCGTTCAACCGTCATTTTAAGTATTTGTACAGTTGTCATCAGTGTAATGAAGAGATTTATACTATTGTAGTCAGTATTTTTAATTTTTAGAATTAAAAAAAAATATAAAATTCTATTTATAAACAGAAAAAAAAAATTAATTTGAATCAATGAAAATTAAGTTAGCATATTTAATAATTTTATTACAAATAATTTATTGCAAAAAAAAAAATTGACAAGAAATTTAAAAAAATAAAAAATGCAATTTTTTTTTAATATTTTTTTGTTAAAATGAAATTAAAAAATTAAGTGACTGCTAAATTTTTATGTAATTTTGAAGTAAGTAAATAGTTTTAAAAAACTTGATCTTAATTTAAGTGAAAAAATTTTTAAACTAAGAAATTTTTAAATATTTATCACTTAGAGGTAAAAAAAAAAAAATAAAAATTCTATTTATATAAAAAAAAAATTAATTTGAAACAATGAAAATATCTTTAATAATTTTATTACGAATAATTTATGGCAAAAAAAAATTTTGTATTGATTTAACAGAATAAGTGTTAGATTTAGACATAAAAGTGTTAAATATTTAACACTAAATTTTTTGACGTAAAATTTTTACTAACTTGATTAAACTTAATTTTTTTTTCTGTAAAGAATGAGGAAATAAAAAATAGATTAGTAATAAAACATAAAAGCGACAATTAGTAATCTAATAAATAAATAAAAAAGGATTTATTGATTAAGTTTAAAGTTCGAATATGGAAGCAATCTAATAAATAAATAAATAAATAAAGTTAAAAGTTGGGGTAAAATGAGTATGTATGTTTTCTTGGCTTACTCATAGTCCGAGGTTACAAACTAAAGATACTTTTTATAGATATTTGTGTGTGATATATGATATAAGTATGTATGTAACATTAGTATAAGTATAAACGGTTTAGTGTATAAAATGAAAATGATAATAACGAATATTTGCTGACGACTTTGGTTAGTATTCACGTGGACTCCTCTCTGTTAAGTTCAGTTCAGTGTATTTTGTTGACCTGTCGCTATAGTTACCAGGTATTTTTATTTATATCTAATCATTACAGTTACTTTGGGGTAAGATGGACATGAGAGACTGCAATTATTAAAATCAGCTATCGGCCATTAATTCGGCTAGTTCGTCCTTCATTTTGGTTTAAATATATATATATACTGATGCATACGTACAATATAATATAATATATTAAAATATATCAGTATTTTGCCGCGTCATTTTGACTCATTGAATAAATTGAATATTCCTTTTTTGTGTCTGTTTTTCGCTGTCACTTGTACGGAGATTTTGCGCTCTGGAAATAAAACAACAAACTGTCAACTGTAAGTCTTTTGTTTGTACTAATTGCGTTGATCAAATTTTTTTTTTTCAGTTTAACAGAAAATATACTTATGTAAATGTGGTAAATAACAAGTAATTGATTATCTCCGGCCAAGGCAACGAATCCTCTTCATTTTTTAACTGAAGACGTGTTCAATTCTGCAGGTTATATCTGAAAGGAATATATATATTATATTATAGAATATATATATATATAGAAACAGAAATAGAGATTTTTTAGTAGAAATTCAGCTGTAAAATGTATCGTACAATTGCTGTCGTGTTTATCTTTGGTAAGTACAAAGATTAAGTTTTTTATCTTATTTATTTAATATGCCAGCTCGTTTAATTGAATCTGGACTTTAAAATTTTTATTCCTTTGTTTTTTATACATTTTTTTTCTCTATATTTATTTCAGAGCATTCGGAGTTATTATTGATTTACTGAAAATTATTTTTCTGCTTTAAAATTAAAATTGTTTTGTTGAAAATTGACGAAAAAATTTATCATTTAGTAAAATTAATTTTTTATAGAGTTAATTAAGAAATTTTTTATTTAAAAAAATATATTAAATTTTTTTATATCAGAAAAATTTAATAAATTAACCATAATTAATTTTTTAGTTGAAGTAAAAATTTTTTTCATTGAAAATTATTGATTAAAAATTTCTTTATTTATTAAAATGAATTTTTAATAATTAAAAAAAATTTTCATTTAAATTTTATTAAATTTTTTTTATCAAAAAAAAATCTAATAAATTTATATAATTAGCTGTAATTAATTTCATTAGCCTAATTAGTGTAATTTACGATTTTTTTCTAAATATTTTTTTAACTTAATAACATATTTACTAAATAAAGATATTGATAAGACTACCTGTCTGTACAAATGAGTAATTACTCGATAATTACAATTTAAAAAAATATTTCAAGTATTTATTTATACTTGATAAAATATTAGATAACCCATGACATAATATTGAGGAGTAATTGAATTATTATAAAAATATTAAAAATTAATAAACAGAAGCCATGAGTATTTAAGTTACGTACTAAAATTATGCAATAATTTAATCCGTCATTTAAAACAAAATATCTATAATTATTTACTTCTCTTTCATATGCAAGTCGAATATTTAATCTAGGAAATTTTCCACAGTATAAAATTGATGACAATATTTTTTTTTTTTAAGGACTGAGTAGTGTGCAAAGTCAACTGATCCCAAATGACCTGCTAGACAAAATTCCGGGTGCCGTAGACGTTAAGTCCTTGAACGAGACCGCGCTGGGACAGGTTGAAAATGCAAAGAACCAGTTTAAGAGCAAGTGTGAGAAGAACGGTGGACCGGATGCTTTTGACAAAGTGATAAAGGCCAACGAGCAGGTCCAGAATTGTGTAAAAGGTTTGGTAAACATGACTGAGCTGCAAGATGAGATCGAGAAGGCCAAGCCGACTGGAGACCTTGATATTGTATTCAAAAAATACTGCATGAAAAAAACGACACTGAAGAAGTGCGTTACTGATTTCACTTCGACCGTGGAAGCTTGCCTTGAGCCGCAGGAACGGGATACTGTTAAAATAGGTTTGAATGTCACTGATTCACTTTTGAACTTCATCTGCCATAAGGAAGGTGATCGCATTGCGTGTAAGTTTCTCCTTCTAATTAAATATTATAATTATTTTTTAATCAACTGACGTCTGATCTTTTTTTTGCAAACAAGGATAAAAATTTTTTTTAATTTATTTTTTTAACAAATGTTCAGAAAAATTAATTTAAAAAAATTTCATTTTTAATTATTTTTTTGCTATAATTTATTTGTTAAAAAAATTATCAACATTTATTTTGATAAAAAATCAGTGATCAGGTGTCTGCTGATATTCCAATATACTTTTTATTGATAAACTTACTGATTAAATATGTAATATTGAATTACAGTGTTTATCGCTGCCGGAGGCCCGGAATGTTTCGCTTCACAACAAGCTGGTCTTCAGCAATGTCTCAACTCAACTTACGGAGGATATTTACCAACAGGTGACTCAGAAAAATCTGCACCTTCTCTTGAATCTCTTCCGAAATTAGCCTTCGGAATTAACGAGTGCAGGTAAATTATTTATATATTAATTAATTATGATTTGAAGTCTTAATTTTAATTGTTTTTTTTTTTTTTTTCAATAAAAAAAATAAAAATTTTCAGATTTCGGCTAATTTATAATTTTCATTATAAAAAATTAAAAAAAAAATGACAGATATTTATTAAATTTTAATAATTTTTGTAACAAATAAATTATGGAAAAAAAAATTATAAAAAAAAAATTGACATGTAGAAATTTTAATGAATTAAAAATGCATTTTTTATAAAGCATTTTTTTTTTTTTAATTTATTTGTTAAAAAAAATTAAAAAATGATCAAGTGACTGCTATCTTTAATGTCATGAATAATTGACAATCTCTTCTCTGAAGCAAATAATTAATTAAATAAATTTTTAGCGACATGGAGAAACTCAGAGGATGCGTCGTAACTGAACTGGAAAAGTGTACTGACCCGACACCAGGAAACATCGCCGATGCTTTGTTTACCTTCGTAAAGCGTGTAACACCTTGTGAAAATCTTCTCGCTGCTCGAAGTGCTCCTCTCGTTGAAGATCCTAATTTGCGGCCAAGGAACAGCGCTCCGATTAGCGCCAACAATGTTTACTCATTTTTGTTTGTCTCTGCAGCTCTCGCTCTGGTTTAAAAAATAAAAATTCATAATTTATTATTAATAATTAATTAATTTGAACAAATTTTTTAGCGTTGTGTTAAATTGAGTGAATTTTATTTTGTAAAAGCATCCGGTGGTGTAATGATAAATTAGAATTGTATACATATCAAATAAATGTTGTCTTTGATTTTTTAATACTTTTCTATTGATTGTTAACTTGTATTTTGTATTTTTATATTATACGTTATTATATATTTTATAGTTGAGATATATAATGTTGGCACTATTATATTATAAATAAATAAATAAATATACATATAAGCACTTTAAATATTTAATATTATAAAATTAATTAAATAACAATTAATAAAAATGTCAATATAAATATATATTTATTGTTTTTTACTTTCCACATTTTTTATTTTATTTACTTTTTTATAAATATTAGGTAAGCTGACATATCTTAAAATTTTAATAATTTTTTTTTATTGAAAAAAATTATTACAAAAAATTAATTTTTGAAAAAATGTAAGTGCAATTTTTTAATTATAATTTAATAAATTAAAAATAAAAATTGTTAACTTTAATGTCATTTTTTTTTATTTAATATAAAATTTTAGATGTCAAAAATTTTTTTGTGAAAATGAAACTATGTGTGTACTTATAGATGTGACTGTACATTTATTGACATTTAGGTACAGATATAGTCACACGCATAACCTTTTGTACCATAAGTGCAGTAATCAGAATGTAAAGAATAAAAATAAATAATTTAAAATCTAAATAAAATATGAAATGACGTAAACTCAGTGATTTGATAAAAGACAATTTTTTATATACTTTTGAACAAAATATTGATATAAATAAATATTATAGACAAGTTAATTATTCGTAATGATAGAAATAAGTAGAGTAAACATAGAACCTTATCATCCAGACAATAAAATTAAAATAAAAAAAAATATTTATCAAAAATAGCAATGAATATATATTTATTTATTGTCATTTAAATAATTGCAATTTTATTTATTTTATTAATTGTTGATATTTTAAGTTAGGTGAAAAATCAAAGTAAGTTTAATTTTTATTTACTACTATTTAATTTTTTAAAATTATTTTTTCAATAAAATAAATTAAAGTTAGCTGTCATTTGACTATTTTTTAATTTTTTTAAAAAAAAGATTTCCAAAAAATTACATTGTTAATTTTTTTAAATTTCTACCTGTCAATTTTTTTTTTCAGTCATAATTTATTTGTTAAAAAATTATAAAAATTTTAAGATGTCGGCTAATTTAATTTTCATAAAAATTTTTTTAGTTAAATAATTGGTACTAATTTTTTTTTTTTTAAACAGTAACTAGGAATTGATGTAAAAAATGGATACTCCAAAACCAGGAAGATTAAACTACACTCATCAGATGGATGAGTCAGATGGAACTCCGTTTGTTTACGAGCACCGGATGAAACACCTAGACAAGCCGAGTGAAGACACTGTGTTATTAACCGGAGAGTCTAAAGGGGGATTGTCTCATCCACGTGCTTTGTTATTTTTAGGATTGTGGTACATATTTAGTGGGTGTACGCTCTTTCTCAATAAATATATTTTGTCTTACATGGAGGGAGATCCGACTATTTTAGGTAATCCTTTAATAAATATTATGATAAATAAATTAGCTGTCATTTTTAAAAGTATTTTTATAACAATCAAATTACAATAATGAAAATACTTTTAAAAATTTCCAGTACTAATATTTTTTTTTAATTTTTACATGTGGAATTTTTTAATTATTAATTACTTCTTTAATTATTTTTATTCCTCAGGAGCCTTTCAGATGATAACAACAGCAGTGTGCGGATTTATCCAGATGTACTTTCCCTGCGGAATGTACAAAACAAGCCCACGACTTGTTAAGCCTCCTGGATTTTACAGACACATGATTTTAGTCGGCTGTACCCGATTCACGACCGTCGTCCTTGGTTTGATAGCGCTCAATTATGTTGCTGTTAGCTTTACTGAAACTATAAAGAGCTCAGCTCCTTTGTTTACTGTTTTAATTAGTAGATATTTATTAGGTAAGTGATAAATCACTCTGACTAATGCTTTGAATAATTATGATAATTAATTTCAGGTGAACGCACAGGTCTTTATGTTAATTTATCATTGATACCGGTGATGGGTGGCCTAGCACTTTGCTCAGTGAATGAATTGAGCTTTGATTTTAAGGGATTTATCGCAGCAATGGCTACTAATCTCACTGAATGCTTGCAAAACGTCTATTCTAAAATGTTAATTAGCGGCGATAATTTTAAATATACGTAAGTATTTTTTTTTTTTCTATACAAAGTTGAAAAAATTTTTAATTAAATTTGCATTTTTGATATATTTTTGGTATATACATATATATAATATATATTTTAAAGATATAAGCTCATTACGATGCTACACTCATCAAGAGAAATATATGAAAAATTGATGTGGGTACTCAAATGAAAGGTCTTGACGAGTGTAACATCGGGATGAGCTTATATCTTTAAAAATGTCAATATTTCACGAGATATTTGTTAAATTGCACTCTACTTTCTTAATTATTAACATTTTTAAAGATATAAACTCATCCCGATGTTACACTAATAAAGAGCTTTCATTTGAGTACCCACTTGCATTTTTGATATATTTTTCATATATACATATATATAATATATATAAATATATGAAAAATTGATGTGGGTACTCAAATGAAAGGTCTTGATGAGTGTAACATCGGGATGAGCTTATATCTTTAAAAATATCAATATTTCACAAGATACAAGGTCATTTTTTAATTATGTATCTAGAGATACAGCATTTTCGAATTCAGCCTAAATACTTATCATCATAAATTGAAATTAAATAACATTTTTCAGCCCAGCAGAACTTCAATTTTACACAAGTCTCGCATCAATTGTCGTACAAATACCTGTAACACTATTATTCGTTGATCTAAATTCTATACGGCATTCCTTCAGTGCAAAACTTTTATCCTCATTTTTATTGAACGGTATATTCTTCCATTTTCAAAGTATTACAGCCTATGTACTGATGGATTATATTAGTCCAGTTACACACAGGTAATTTAAACTACCATCTATAAGTTGTAATAATAATAATAATAATAATAATAAATTAAATTATAGTAACAATTAAATTGATAATAATAATAATTAAATTGTTCTAGTGTTGCCAATACAGCCAAACGAGCATTTCTCATCTGGCTATCTGTGATATTATTCGATAATCCAGTCACAGGCCTATCTGCTCTGGGTACTTGTACAGTAATTGCTGGCGTATTGCTGTACAACCGGGCCCAAGAGTACGACAGAGCTAAAATAAACAAACTACGCTTCAACTCTAAGATAAATTTACACTGATCATATTAATAATCATATAAGTTTTAAATTTAATTATAAAAATTTACTTAATTACAATTAAGAATTTATTTTATTTTAGGTGGAATTTAATAAATAAATTTTTATTATCATAATTTTATTTTTTATCTATAAATTGATAAATCAACTCAACCATCACAATAACAAACTGGATAATCGGAATGTCAGTATTAATTTAACTGATCTTGATTAATGAGGGTATAAATAACAATTATTATTTTTTTTTTTTTTCTTAATTTGTTTAAAGTCGCATAAACTACTAAGGTCATGAGCGACTACGGTAGGGGGTAAACTTTTGAGATTGGAACTCGTTTTTTATTTCTTGGCCTGAGCAGAATAATACACTTAAATATTGAAAATATTAATTGGTGTACGCCGGACTCGAACCCGGTCCAATGCTTTGGTAACCAAGGGCCGGATCCGATAGGCTACTGCGCGCCTAACAATTATTATTATTATTATTATAGATAAAATATTTATATAATTGATATTGACAAAATACTAAAAGATAAATTTTTAAGATTTGAGCATATTATTTATCTTTTTTTGCTAAAAAAAATAATCTATTTAAATTAACAAATATTATTTAATTATATTCAATAAGACACTTTCTTTTATTATCGCTAATGATAAATTGTGGCAATTATTGATATTGTAAAATTTTAAAAATCCATATCAATAATTATAATTTTGATTGGAATGAATGTGATGTAAAAAAATTTGTGAGATTGAGAGTCCAAGTCTGACAATAAAAATATTTTTTACAACTGAGAAGCTTTCAATGCTTGTTCCAAATCGGCTATCAAGTCACTCTGGGTTTCTAGTCCGACTGATAGACGAATCAGCTGGTCGTTGATACCCAATTCATCTCTCGCTTCTTGCGTCAGTGAAGCGTGTGTCATTACTGACCTGATTACCCAATAAACAAGTTTGTTTAATAATAGGTCAAATGATTGATTAATTAATAAAAATTTGTTATGATACTTACGGCAATTCCGCGAGAGACTCATACCCGCCAAGTGACTCGGCTATCATGAATATTTTTAATGCTTTAAGGAATTTACGCGAGTCGCCTTTTAAGTAAAACGTCACCATACCACTGTGTCCTGACATTTGTTTCTTCGCTATTTCATATTGTGGGTGTGATGGTAAAACTAGAGTAGATTAATTTATCTTTAGTAAATAGAATTGTTTTATTATAAGTTATTATTGTTAATAAAGTATTTATGATTCTTACGAGGATGAAATACTCGGATGACTTGAGGATGTGATTCCAGAAATTCAGCCACTGCTAATCCGCCTATCATGTGTTGTTTCATTCTTACTTCCAGGGTCTTTAAGCTTCGGCTTACTTGTGAGCAATCAAATGGTGATGGTACAATTCCAAGTGCTGAAAATATAATAATAAAAATTATTATTATTATTTATTTATTTAATGGTTTATTTTTTGAATCGTTATTTCACTCATTCATTTTATTTATGATTTTATTTCTGAAAAAAAAAAATTAATAATAATAAATGAATAAAATTTTGCTTTATTAAATAATGACTTTTGTTAAATTGCATTGTACTTTCTTAAATATTAACGTTTTTAAAGATATAAGCTCATCTCGACGTTACACTCATCAAGAGCTTTCATTTGAGTACCCACATGCATTTTTGATATATTTTTCATATATACATACATATATATAATATATATAAATATATGAAAAATTTAAGTGGGTACTCAAATGAAAGGTCTTGCTGAGTGTAACATCGGGATGAGCTTATATCTTTAAAAATGTCAATAGTTCTCAAGATACCAGGTCATTTCTTAATTATGTAATAATAAATATGATAATAATTAAAAATTATTATTATTATTATTATTTAAATGAAAATGTATGTTTAAATTTAAAAAAAATATTAACCATTTTGAAGAAAACGCAATCGTTTTTCAAGTTCATCGCTCCGGACAATAATTGCACCCATTACAATATCCGAATGTCCATTCATATATTTCGTCAACGAGTACAAAACACAGTCAGCTCCTAATTCTAGCGGTTTCTAAAACAAGAAATTAATTAAATAAATACTGATAATGATAAATTATATTTATGAGGAAAATAAAAGCAAAAAAATATATATTTACTTGGAAATAACAAGTGAGGAAAGTGTTATCAACTACGACAATGATATCTGGTCTAATAGCTTTCACAGCGTCAACAATAGCACGGATATCAATGATCTTAAGCAACGGGTTTGTTGGTGTTTCAATCCATACCATCTGCAAATAAATAAAATGAGTATCATATTAATATAAACCACGAACCATGGAATTTGCTGACCGCTAACCACCAACCACAAATAAAAAGGGTGACACGAAAAAATTTCCCCTCTAAAATTTTATTTTAAATTATAATATTATTATCCCTGATTTTGTCGTGAAACCATAAAAATTACCTTCGTGTTCTCTTTAATAGAGTTGACGAAATTTTTAACATTCGTACCATCGGCGAACGTGATATCAATCTTATTTCTTGAAAGACAGGTTCTGAAATAACGGCTGGTGCCACCGTAGACATCGTCGACGCTCAGGATGTGGTCTCCAGATTCCAATAAAGCTCCCAGTGCTGTATTAGCACCCAGACCTGATGCAAAGGTCAGCGCATGCTTGCCATTTTCAATTGCAGCGAGGCATGTCTCCAACATGTTGCGAGTTGGGTTTCCACTTCTGCCGTACTCATATCCCTGTTGAATTATTTGTATTAATATATTTACAACTATATTTTTTTTTTTATTAAGTCATTAGTGTTATTATCATATAATTTAATTAAATTAGTCTTTATAGATTATATAAAGTGTCAAGTGTTGACAATAAAAATAAATTGAACTTTTTATTGACTATTCAATAACACTTTTAGTGTAATTAAGTGTTGATAATATAAAAAAAATTAGTAATTGCTAATTTATGATAATAAAATAAATACGGCTAATTAAATTTTTATTTCAGGTCATTAAATTTTACTGTTAAAATTTTATCAGCTAGATATGATAAGTTATATTTTAGCTAACTATAATGTTTTATTTTTAATGAAAAATAAATTTATCTAAAACAAAGAATAGATTAATTATCTTTTTAGAGTTAATGATTTTTGTCGTAAAATATATTATTTTTTTTGTTAATAATTTTTTAATAAAATATAATATTTTTAAAAATAGAGCAATAAAATTGAATATATGCGGAGTTAAAATAAAATATTAGTGTATTGAGAATTAAAAAAAAAAGCTGAACAGGCAGAAAAAAATCTTTTTAAAAATTCTAAGACTAATATTTTAATAATAAAAATAAGCAGAATAGTATTTAATATTTAAAATTTTAAAAATAAGTTTGGAATATTAATGCTTTGTAAAACACATGAATGTGATACAAATAAAACTCTGTCTATCTATTATATTTTTAAGTAAAAATAATTAATGTTACTATTATAAATATAATATTGATTAATTAAAATAATTAATAAAACTTACACGATGTTCAGCAGCATCATCTTGCCGAAAAGTCGTTGACATAACCAATGGTCCAACAACTGGGCAATGATTCCATTGAAGTGGATCTTGTCCAGCATGAATAGCTTTTGTAGCAAAACCTTCTTCGGTGTTGGTCGGCATTTTAACTTATCTATGAAAAAAAAAATGAGTGCATAAAATTAATAACAGAAAATTATTATCATATCTATTTACAGACTAATTACTGATTACTAATTCCAACCATGTAAGATGTAAGTAGTTGAATTAAATCGAGTAATTTGTATATTAATAAGAGAAAAGGAGCACAGAATAAATTATAAACGAGTTAAACTACGCGATTTTAATTCAATTCTCTGAATTCCTAAATTAGCTGATAAAATTTAATACTAAAAATTACACTATTTCTGTACGTGGCACCTTATGCTTGCAATTGACTAAAAAAAAAAAACTAGCAGACAATGCGGATGATATTTTAAAAATTATTGCATCATCACACGACATCCGATACCTGCCAAAAATTTTTTAAGTTTTTTTCTGACAGAAAACAAAAATAAAAAGGAACTAATTACCAATTAAAAATCACGCAATTACTTTATAATTAAAGTACTTACAGTTGGAAATTAAAATCGAAGAATTAGAAGAGAGATTGGAATCTTAGACCACCCGGCTTGAAAGGCGACTCAGCAATGACTTGCTCGGGATTTGGAGCTGATCCTTCTTGTTCACGACCAATACGCGCTACAGACAAGTCACCATTCCACTTATTTACTTACATGCTTAGATCATATGTTCATTGTACTGTACGGTACGTCGACACTACTGTCCTCACTTTTTTTTTTTCGATAATCAAAACTAAATTTGAATTTCTTTTTTCTTCTCAAGTATTTCATACCTGAAAAATAATAAATTATTGTTAAATTGTTTAAAAAAAAAATAAATTAGCAGATATTTTATAATTTTTGTAACAAATAAATTAACTGAGCAGATATTTAATCATTTTATGAATTTTTTTAATAAACTATGTTAGAAAATATGAGAAAAAAAATTGAATAAATAAAAAATGCAAATAATTTTTTGGAGCAAATTTATTTATTAAAAAAAAATTAAAAAATGGTCAAGCTAACTTTAATGTCATAAATTACTTAAAAAAAAAAATCGACATTAACATTAACTGTCACTTGATAATTTTTTAATTTTATTTAAAAAAAAAATTGTTTTTAAAAAATTGTATTTACAATTTTTTAAAATGTCTAGATGTCAATATTTTTTTTTTTTTCCATAATTTATTTGTTAACAAAAGTTCTAAAAATTTATTAAAATATCTGCTAAATTAATTTTCATAAAAAATTGACATGTAGAAATGAAAAAAAAATTGAAAATTCAATATTTTAGAGTAAAATTCTTCGTAAATAATTGTAAAGTGACTTCTAATTTAATTAAATAATTAAATGTCATAAAAATTGTTATAAATATTGAGGTTAGATTTTTATAAAAAAAAAATTAATAAATTGACCTTGTAATAAAATTTTTTCCTTACCTTGTCTCAAATGTTTATTCAATTCCATTATTATTTTTATTATTATCATTATTAAAAAATAACGACAATAAATAAAACTTAGGTTATTATTGCAAGTTAACAATAAAAATGAACCATAATCACTTTCAACAATAAAATACCACACATTTATTTTAAACTCATTACTTTCACTTTTATTAACCACCATCTCCATTATTCAATTACCATGGACATGTAATTAATAAAAATACTTAGTGTTTTTTTGTTACAATATCTGCAAGTCACTGATTGTGCAATAAACTTTTAGTAATAATATTAGTTAATATACTATTAATAATTATTAACAATAAAAATTTAAGAAGAAATATTTAAAAGCACTTGATAAAAAAACAAGAATAAAATAAAATAAAAAGTGTATAAATATAAAAAAATAAAAGGTTTTTTTTAAAACGTCGCGCTTCTTGATCTGCGCATGAAATCGCATATGTTTTTATAACTAAATATATATAGATATGTATGGGTACATATATATTGTATGTTTATAGATATAGATGTATACTTATGTATGAATGTATAAGAATAGTTATTATATGTTTGATGTTTGTAACCAATCTGAGAGATATGACAAATAGTAATAATCTAATTATTTTACTGGGAATAATTGCCATTAAATTGACACTTGCTGCTGTTATCAATGAAGCTACGCACAAAAAAGACCCATGTGTTGTGCTGTGTGATAAAATACCGGTATCATTTTTTTTGGCAACTGATAAACTGATCAGCGATTCGGTAATTACAATATTTAATATTATTAATTATTTTTTACAAGTATTAAATATTTATAATTAATATTTGTTTATTTGTATTTTAATATTATTATTTTTTATTCTAGGTTGAAGAGACCAAGGAGTGTTGCCAGAGAGGTTGTAGATTTTTTAATTTAGCTGACTCGCAGCAAGGAATTGAAAAAAATGAATTAAACGACACCAAGGACGCCTGTGAATCATGTAATTTTATTAGCCTTACTTCATTTAATTGTACCTCGTTCATAATAATTACAATTGTTATTATTATTGTTATTGTTTAATATGATTATAATTTTTTTTAATTCTGCAGCATGCTCCGAAGCGTACCAAAATGTCAACGAGAGATTTGCTTGCATTGTCGGGTGCACTTTCATGGCCAAGCAGCGGATTTTCGACCTAGTGTCCATTTTATCTGCTGCTTTGTCTTCGGAAGACGATTTGATTGCTCACCACTTCCTGGTGACGTCCATAGACATGCCGGATAATACTATGAGTGACCCTGGGCTGAAAAAAGAAATTCTTCCGGGATGGTGGGACACCGAGGGCTTTAAATTACCACAGACTTATATTAAATCTGTTCCACAAGAATCAGTAAAATATTTTTTTTTTATTTTTAATAGGTCCTAGATTTTTGCTAAAATTATTTAATTTTTTTTAACACAGAAGTTTCTCTTATTTTTTTATTAATGATAAAATTTTTAATTATTGAAATTGAGGCTTTTTTATTGGTCTTGAGAAAAAAAAAAAAAAAGACTGTTTTTTTATTAAATTAGCTATCAGAAAATTTTTTTATTGAAAAAAATTATTTTTAAAAAATTTGACACGTAGAAAATTTTCAGTGGATTTGAAAAAAAAAAAAATTTTTTTACTTGATTTAAAAAAATAAAAAGTTGTTAAACGTCTGCTAATTTTAGTATCATAAATTAAAATTTCAAATACTTTTTTTATACGACCAAAATTTCCGCTGTAATATCAAAAATTTAACACCATTAATTATTAATTATTATTTTAAAATTAAAGCAAAAATCTTGGCTCTTTTCTTAAAATTTTTAAAAATCAATTTGAAGAAGATTTTATAAAATTAATTTCAATGAAATAATTTTTTTTTTTTTAGGGAATAGACTACAATTTATCGCCAGACTATTCAGGAGAGCCAGATCAATCATATTCATGGCCAGCAACAAATTGGCTACAATGCGCGTCAAAGCATACTGGAATTCCTCGGTGGATCTTGAGTTGCTCTATAATCCTTGGAGTAATAGTAGTAATTTGGATCGGGCTGCTTAGCGAAAAGTCAGAGCCTAAAAACAATGCCACTAGTGAAAGCAATAACAATGATGACCTTAGTAAAGTTATACTGATATATCCGAATGAAAAAACGCCACCTGATTACACGGATTGTGTAAGTGAAGAAAAAAAATTGATAATATAATATATTATAAATTTGTGTATTAAATTGTAAAAGTTATTATTAATATTATTATTATTATTATTATTACTTATTACTAATACATCGTAAATTTGCTTTTAATTGTTGATGTAAAATTAGTCCTGAAATCAAGTAATATAAATGTTAATTGTATGTAATTAATTGTAAAAGTTTAACTTTTCGTCTTACATGTTTGTTCAATAAATAAAAAAAATAAATTACCTGTAATGTTTTGATAACATTTTAATTACTATTTTATTGCTGTAGAGGTTGAATAATTTTTTTTTAATTCAAAAAAGTCACTTTAATATAAAATTGACTATATTTAGATCAAATGGTTATATACAAACATAATGTAATAATTAAAAAGTTTAATAACACGGTTTTATATTTAATAAATATAAATGTTGAGCGAATTAAATTTTAAAATAAGCAAAAGTTACAACCAATAGAAACGTGTTTCATCCCGACGCATTTGTAATTTCAACACGTGACGGTAAATCTTGAGAGCTGGACCCAGAAGAAGATCTAGTCCGATCAATACGTCGGATCTTTTCATTAATAACAACGAATGGCCATCTATGTCCTGTAATTTAGAAAAATTAAATAAAAAATAAGTAGCAACTTTGCAGTCACTATGTGACTGCCGTGACTTGTGAACTATGAATAAATAAAATTTTATTTTATTAAATAATGATTTTTGTTAAATTGCACTGTACTATCTTGAATATTGACGGTTTTAAAGATATAAGCTCATCGCGGTGTTACACTTATCAAGAGCTTTCATTTGAGTACCCACATGCATTTTTTTATATTTTTCATATATATATATATATATATATATATATATATATATATATA